CCGCATTTCTCAGCAGTTTTTAACGTTGACAGTTAAAATGTTGTCTGGTAGCGCCAGGGTTCAAGAGGAACAGGAAGTCCTTCAAACACGGGAAATGCTCCCAGGTTGATGTACCTGTAGTATCAATGACCTGGCAACACACATGCCATGATCACTTTCGATACAGGAGTCCCTTTACAGCAGGAGCAGAAATACCAGACAGAAACCAGCAGCATAAATCTAAAGGAATGGACTTACAGGGAATCAGGCCGACATGTTGTAGATGTTAAAAGAGGGAAAGACATGAAAAATGAGTTTCAAAAAGAAGGGAGGGAATAAAGGACAAAAGGCATGGAGGTAAGAAGGAGAAAACAGAGTAAAGGAAAGGAGGACACAAAGAAAGAAGTGGAAGGACAAGAAAGGAGGAAGGGAAGGAAATAAATAATGGCAGAGGAAAGGACGTAAAAACGAGCCGTAAGGGAATAAGAAAGAAAGGAGACAAGGAAGGAAAGAAAGGACATAAATTCTCCCCTAATTATCCAGAACTGGAAAACACAGAAATCAAATTGCACACTTTTCCAAACCAATTTTAGAAAAAGAAGCAAAGTTCACGATGTTTTCTTCAATATGAAATAAAACAAAGGCCTTGTTCTCCAGTTTGTTATGAAATTAATTTTAGAAAACTAACTTGGACAACAGGACAGAGATTTCAGTCTGGAAAAACTGATGTCTTTTCACACATTTAGACTTTTTCTGTCATATTATGGAAGACACTGAAAGTAAACAGTCCACAAGATTTTCCATCATTTCAAAAAAAAAAAAAAAAAAAAAAAAAAGCAGTAAAATTAGTTGCTCAAATCCAAGTCTGGACATTTGAGATGTAGACTGACAACCAGAGAAAAAAAATCCGGAACAGCTCCAACAAAAACAAAACGCCTGAATCACCAGCAACATTTCTAACGATGCGTTCACTGACCTCTGGAACGTAGTTGTCCCTCCTCTCTCTCTCCTCCTCCTGCAGCTTGATGGAGATTCCTCTGACGGGACCGCGCTGGATCCTCTTCATCAGATGTGTCACATACCTGCAGGAGCAAACGCACTCTGGTTCTTAGCTCCTCCTGTCCTCCACCGTGCTACAATCTGACCGTCGCGCTACGATCCGCTGACTCACCCGGCAATCTTGTTGCGGAGCTTCTTGCTCGGGATGATGGCGATCTCCTCACACACCCTCTTGTTGGTGTGGAAGTCATTTCCCAGCCGGGTGTAGTATTTCTCGATGATGACCCTGGCGGCCTTTTTCACCGTCTTGGTCCTGACTCGTCCCTGCAGGTGCAAAGATTTTAGATTTGGTGATTAGGAAGACATGTTGGAAAAGACTCCTGTGTTATTCCTTCACATTTTTAATTAAATGCATGTTCAGATCACTAAGGAGTAACAAAACCGGCACATCATGTAGTTTTCTCAGAATCAGTTGACCTCAGAACATTTCTACCTGCAGACTATAGATAATAATACTGCCCCCTACAGGTTAAACTGTAGGCACAAAGCATGATGGGAGCATCTCTTCCTGATACTTCTATCAATCCGAAATAATGCTTCCGAGTTTCTAATCCAGTTTGTTTCAAGATCTTTTTAAAATGACAGCATGTTATTCGGCCTTTTAACTTCATAAACTCTGTAATTTTCAAAAAAATTAGCCGAAATAGCTGCATATAAACCATATCATCTTGCTGTAATCTGTAAGGTTGCATCAGGAAAAACATTTTAAAAAGCAGCTCAGTTTGAAATAAAACAGCTTCAAATCCTCAAATAAATTTCTGAGACCATTAATAACAGTGCAGTAGCTTTTATCTAACCTGACAGATAGGACGTTCTAACACGGCACGTTTTACACTTTTTCACATGAAACCGAGAGACTTCCTCCGCAGCACAGATCCAGGTCTGATCCCCCCTCCGGCTACTCTGTCCGGGGTACCGAGCAAGCTGTCTCCGCGGCGCACCGAAACACTCCCGCAACTTTGATTTATCCACATTACGAGCCGGTGTTAAACACAAAAGTAAGAACCTGATACCTGCGGCCTCGCCTACGTCTGAACCCGAGGCTCATTCAGACTAACGGCGGCTAGGTTTAACTGACTATAATCATCTTAAATTATATAATCTAATGTCAATTCTGCGGTGAATCGCAAGCTTCAGCATTCCGGCGTTTATCAATATGACTATCAGGATGAATAAAGAGTTAAAAAGGAAGGATTGATATAGATAAAACAGAAAGACGTGAAATTATCACCCACCATGTTGGATCGGCCTGGTAGAAAAGACCGAGAAGACTTCCGGTGGAAGTTTAAAACCGACGGAGGTTTAACTGCAGCGACACCCCATGGCTAAAGGCTGAAACTACAAAAACAAAAGCGACATTACGCTTAAAAAGGTAAAATCGCACTTCAGGGTGATTTAATTTCAATCAGTGGTATTTTTAGTATGAAGAAGAAAATTCCCTACTGTAGGAAATAAAATATTATTTTCAAACAAATCATGACGGGAAAATCCCGCTTTGTCTTAGTTATCAGGTATTCTAATATCTAGAATTTTTACATGACTTGACATAAAAAAATAACCCTTTTATCAATTAGGCTGTCCTTCAGTTTGATCCCTTCTCCCATAAAATATGCAAAACCCTTCAGCTGCAAAGCCAGAATTACTCACTTACTTGTTTGGTATTTATAAAATAATTAGGCAGGTTTGTTAGTATCAGGGAATGTTAGTTTTACAATGATTCCAGTGCACATATATCTTGATGTTCCTGTTCAAGAGGCAAACTGTATGTCATTTTTTATCCAGAAAGTATCATGTTTTTCTGCTTAAATGGTGATAATGATTGCAGTTTGGCTACAACCATTATCCTATTTTCCTTATCAATTTCTAACAATTTACTCAGTGATACCTGTTCTTGTCCTAAATTGTATTTCATGACTTTTGTCACTTGTTTTCTGTGAGTAGAGTACATTGATTTGTCTTTACTTTTGCTACACTTTGTCAGGACCTCGTCAAAAAGTATACATTTATATATTCTGTAAAAATTTGGGAAAATTCAAAATGGCAATCAGTCCTCAGTTAATGTTTGTAGCAGATTTATGAGGAACTCTTTCAAAGTACAAAAAAAAAAGACATGAACAAGAATGCACCACAATAATCTGACAGTCATGTGATCTCATTTATTTAGTGTAAAATAAATCTACAAAACAGATCCACAACAATACTGCTTATTCTGCTTATTAGATTAGCTAACATACATTCAGTAGCTTTCTATTAAAGGGAAAGTCCAACATTTCAGCAACTATACTCAGGGTTATTGCATGATTTACAGTCTCTGGCTCTAAGTGATCATTTGTAGCTTATTCAGAGTTTAAATGAAAATAAAATGATTGAACAGATCTGACATTTAGTCTCCTTTACAATCAACCAAACCACATACTTCCCTGATTTTAGCCTCTGCAGAACTCAACTGTTTTTAAACCTGATGCATTGTTCTTGTAATGTGTGCTTTTACCTTTATAACACCTTAATGGAAGTCACACAAATTAAACAAAAAAAGCATAGTAATTCATCTAGGTAATGTGATAGCAATGGAGTCTAAGTATAAAATCAAGAAAAAATACAAGAAAAACAGCTCATTAAACATTGTACAGCATTGTTTGTTTGATTTTTTGGATAAATACACAAGCAGATAAGACAAAATGGGCCAATAAGAGTTACGTTTGCAGTGCTCATTGGGATTTTTCAGTGATTTTACTTCCTAAGAGCATAAGTTGATTTGTTTACCTTAAAAGCCATTCTTTAGATGGTTTTGTCTAACTGTTTTCTCCACTTAGGCTTTACTGTTGGTCTAATTCTATCAGGATTTCCCTGAGCTCTCCTTGAAAGAGTCCCACTCTTGCTGCTTTGAGTTTTTAGAAGGAAAAATTAAGCCATCAGATGTACTGATTTACCTGTAACCATCAGTATAAGTACTAAAAGAAGGAGTGTTGGCAGTTTGTATGTTATGGACCACATGGGTGTGTTTTAATACAGTACCAAGATAGAAAGACATCAGTATGATTTTAGAGAAACAACTGCTGCTGCCCATGAAAGGGTTACGAGGTCATTTACAGATTATCTATAATCAGTCATTCTACATGGAGAAAGATTGATCAAAACAAAAAGCTGCCCATCTTTTAAGAAGTGAAAAACCCACCAAATTCACCATAAGGACCAGGATCTGGCCACCTTGCAGTTACCAAGGCAACCATTAACTCCTCCGTATACAAAGGTGTGTGAAGCCACCTGTCCAACAGCTGAAGTTTGGTCATCAACATGAAAATGACTCCAAACACAGCAGCAAATCTAAGATAGAACAGCATCAATGTGTTGGTCTGGCCTAGTCAAAGCCCAGACCTCAACTTGATTGAAATGCTGTGGTGGGACCTTCAAAGAAGTACAGGAAAGTAAAATCCTGAAAGCTTTTCCTGCTGGATGTGGTTCTACCAGCTGATGGATCCTGTGGTGAACTAAGTGTTTCACACATAGTTTCTAAAGGCCAAACTACCAAGTATTTTCTGTCTAGTTTCTAGCCCAAAAATCTTAGTACATTTGTAAGTAACTTTTCAGCAAGATACAGGAGATTCTTTTAAGTCAGTAATCCATTAATACAGATTAAAAAGAACTTGTTCCACTGGCATTTTTTTCGATTAAAAATGTCTTGTTATAAGTTGAATAATCTGCCAATGGAACTAGTACTCTTTCATCAACATTTACTTAAAATAAGCTCCTATATCTTGGTAAAAAGTTACTTGTGGGTTAGTTTTGTCTTATTTCAAGTGAGCTGGGATATTTGCACTAGAAACTAGATAAAACAATACCTGATAAGAAGAAGAGTGTTTGCAGTGTAAGAAATAAAGCCTTGGAACTTGTAGAAGTTGAACCTCTGAAGACCAAAACCTGAGCATTAAGTCAGGTCCAGTTGGAACTCAAGAGACTCTATGTGAAGTTTTTTTTTTGTGTTTTCACAAACTACGATTTATGAAAAAAGAACAAAACGCAGTGAGAAGGATTCTCCTGAAGGCACCCGTCGACTCCGTTTCTCTTTATAACGGATTCACTTATAGAAAAGTGCAAACAGACGCGTCAAAACTTGCATATCATCAGAAGTCGGACCGACATCCAGCTCCAGAGTCCAATGAGACGTTGTCACGGTAACGGCAGAGGCACCAGCACCTCCACGTAGCTGACAGGTAGAAGCCCGGATCGCTCCCCGAGCGTTCCCTCGTACCAGTCGCCGTCAACCTGGCCGGTGAGCACGATGACCTCTCCCTCGCTGAAGTCCAGCTCGTCGTCGCGTTTCGACGTGAAGGAGTAAATCGCCCGGCAACAAGGCTGATTCAGGAGCAGCTTACAGTCAGCTGAGAGGAAATCAGAGAGGAAAATGCAGTTAAACCTCCAGTTAAACCTCAGATGTTTTGATTGCTGATGCTGGACTCAGGTTGAAAACTCGGAAACTTCTCAGACATAAAAAAAAATGACGAGTGGAAGACGCTGGAATCTCCCCGGGGAAACTGGTCTCTGCTAAAACAGCCTGATGATGTTTTCTCACCAAAGTTGGAGATGAAGCTGTCTGGGCTGGATGTTATCACTGAGCTCTCTTCTCCTGAGTCCAGATTAGATGAAAACAAAAATACGTTTTACAAGACACTCGCAGATACCCTTAAAGGGCAACATTATGTTTTCCAGGCACTAGAATGATTTTATAGCACAACTAAGTGCTATAAAACTGCTACCCTCAGTTGTTATAAATATGACTTAAAACAAGTTTACCACCTTGAAATTGGGCTCCTGTCTCTTTAAGAAACTCCTGCACTTTCTGAAACTCTGGCTTTAGGAAGTCATCCTCTATTAACCCTTTAACAGCGTTTCACTGAGAAGTTTCACTCATATAATGAGCTCAGTAGTCGCATCAGGTGTTTGCTAATTGCTGCTGGACCGATTGGAAACCAGTTTAGGGAGACCAGAACATCTGTGAGATGATGATGTTCCAGAACCTGAATAATTGATGTTTTGTTTTTGTTCAGGTTCAGAAAGTTGACCTCTAATCACCTTTAAAAAGGTTCAACATGGAGGAAGTATCTGAACAGACCTGAAGACCGAGGAGCCGCAGCTGACAGCTGGTGGTAAAACCCGACGGTACCGTTGGGGTCGCCCTCGACCCGAATCTTTTCGGATCTGAACTGGCGAGCTGGTTTGTTACTGGCAGCAGTCAACCTGATGTAAGAGAGAGGTCAAAGGTTATGTGGAGACAGATGTAACACTTTAATTCTGATGGTTCTGATAATCAAGAGGATATCAATAAACATCAGTTTTTTCCCCACTAACGTAGAAATGCATCGATCCGATATCAATATCTGTAATGGAAACAATACTGAAAAAAATTCTAGATTGGCTTTGGTGACGATGTATCCAAACCATAAGGGCTTCATGACTTATCTTACACTATATTGAAAATTTGTAATTCCACTGTCTGGACTATTTGAAAGAAAGTTTGTAGCAGTTTATTTTTACATGTTTGACCAAACGTGTTGTTTTTGTCTGTTTCGGTTTCTTCTATTTATTTGACATTGGCTGGTTTATTCCCTATTGCACTGACTGAACAAATTAAAGTTGATTTGTTTATACATGTTTGACCAAGCTCATGATGTTATTTGTGTTTTTAAGTGTGTTGTAATTCAGTACATTTATGTCTGTGTTTTTTAAAAGAAGAAATATTTTAAGTCGCTGTTTTTCTGGATCAGATCGGTATCAGCCGATACAAACCTCAGATATCGGTATCGTAAGTGAAAAATGTGGATCGGTGCATTGCTACACGAAGCCAAACTCACCTGGCCTGCAGGTCGCTTTGCAGGTCCAGCAGGACGCGCTGGGCGTTGCGGTGGAAGTCGAGCAGAGCGGCGATCAGAGCAGCCAGCGGGCCGATCAGATCCACCTGCAGGAGAAACACTAGAGCGGATCGGTACCACAGCTTCCTGACTCCATGCGTGAATCAAGTCCGACTCATCATTTCTACTGATGTTCTCCTTTAAGTCATCGGTGCTAATCAGACAGAAAAACGCCTTTTTTTCCCAGTTCGATGGACATTTGGGACATTCTCAATGTTTTCAAGCTCCTGTGAAGAAATGCAACTAATGATTATTTTATTTAATTAAGACAAAAGTATTTTCTATTCTATTCTATTACTTTATTAACAAATCAGTGGATTGTGCTGCCCTCAGTGTCAGAGAGTTACATAAATTCCAGTCAGATTCTAGTGATTTAAGATTAATTTAAGACATTTCTTTTTAGCCAAAATTTTTGTCCACTTTTTTAGATATTTGTTTTAATCTCTTATTTATTCATTTATTTTATTATTTTTATTAATTTAATTTGCTTGTTTTTTTTGTTTTGTTGCCCTTTGAGATCTAAAGACATAAATGTCATTATAAATAAAACCCATTATTACTGTTATTGTTATTATTATTATTATTTATGTTATTGTAACTGACTGAATTCTTCTGTATGACCTTTTTTTGTCTAAATTGAACTAAGATTTTAAGAGCTGATATTGTGGTTAAAATTGGTGAAAATAAATTTTCGTGAAGGATTGAAGTGTTTCAAAGTCATACTAGATAAAAACGTTTTTTAATTTTATTTTGAAAGTTAGAGATGAATCAAAATGGCTGGACATTTTGGGGGATTGAAAGTGCAGAAAAGTGTATGTAATGTCTTCCTGGAAACCAAGTCATGAAGATTCTTTCAGGTATTTAGTGCCAAACTTCCTTTAGATTTGTCTTATGGTTTACTGCAGTACAGGTTGAACAAAATTAAACAGAAAGTAAAAGAATAAACATCTGGTACCCAACTCACATCACTGTCCAGCAGGACGAACATGCTCCTCTCTGCCAGCTCTTTGGACGTCATAAACTTATCCCACGCCAGCCGAACGCTTTCTGTTGACACTTTTCCTCTTCGTCTCTTCTTATAGTCAAAATCGAGCCGCTGGCCGTTCACCTTCTTCAGCTGGTACTGAGGAACCAATCAGATAAACGTAAACAAACAAGCTTCAGACCTCCTGCTGGCCTAGATTCTGGCACCAATAACAAGTGAGCTCATCTAATTCAGTTCGAATAAAGACTTGAGGTGGGATTTAATGGCGGCTCACCTTGATCTGCTTCATGTCTGACTGCTGCAGCCCCTGCAGAGGGTCGATGAACGTCCGCTTGATGCCGACGTCCAGAGCGTCTTTGGCCTGGCCAACCTTCTGCAGAGCTCCGCCCACATCCATCAGAGCGCCGCCTGATCAGGAGGCGAGGAAGAGGACGACCGCAGAAAAACAGCAGGAGAGTCAAGACGAAGAGTTCAAACACATCTGAAGGTGCCTCATCAACAGAGTTTGGTAGTAACTAGTTACATTGTTACATTGACCTGACCATTACTAGTTACACTGACCTGAGTAACTTTAGAAAAAAAAATTACTTTTAGGAGTATTTCTACTATGCTGTACTATTTACTTTTACTTCAGTAATTTTACTATGGAGTATCTCTACTCTTACTCGAGTAAAATTTCTGGATTTTCTACATACAAACATGTTTTAACCAAAAATTCATCAGACACACAAACCTGCAGTTTTTGTTAAAGTTTCATTTTCAGTTTTTGTATTGAAACTGATCTGGAAACATTTTCTATGGGCTGATTTTGTTATTTTTTGTTACTTCTATAAATTATTGTCATTTTGGTCCTTAAAATACCACAATTTCCACTGAACTTTATATTTTGATCCGTCTGATGATGTAATTTTTAAATATTAAATGATTGATACTTTGATCAATATCTTAGTACTCGAGTAGACCTTTTACCAAACACTTTTTTACTCTTACTTGAGTAATTTCTTGGATGGTTACCTTTTACTTTGACTTGCGCACTACTTCATATATACTTCATAGATGTTGAAGTAGTGCTACTCTTACTTGAGTACAGTTTTTAGGTACTCTGCCCACCTATGCTCATTAATTTGTTTACATTTATTTTAATTTGTGTGTACCAAATTCAGAAGCAGGTCCGAGCTCCTGGCCGTAGAACAACATGCACTTCCCCAGCATTCCCTCTGTCTGCGGGTATCCCACCGTCCGCACCTGTCCTCGGATCCTGGACACTGTGCTGAGCATGCTCAGTTTAGCTCTGTAGGCTGCAGACACAAAAACACATTTCAATTTACATTTTTATTCATTTTAATTTGTCATCAGTTTAATTTATGAACACAAAACTTTCAAGAAAAAGAAGTTTTGCCACTGAGGACCAGGGGTGGGCTTTATCGTGCATTTTAGCGATAGAAATCACACTTCTTTAAATAAGTGACATCCTAAAGGAGCTTATTTCAAATGGGAATATTTTCCCAAGAATTATATTTCTGTTTGTGGCTTTGTAAATGTCATGCCATGTAGCTACATTTCTCCATTAAATTCCTCCAGATTCCTTCAGATCTGAAGTATAATTCATAATATTCTGATCTGGAGATGGAGAAACATCCAAATTAATTCTGATCCTTCAATAATAAACTTTTTCTCACACATTTTCGGTGCTAATTTGGAGATTTTCTGCTTTTAAATCATAATTCAACTTGGCTTTCATATTAAAATTATGAAATCTATTCCTCATGTCTACATCCCACAACCTTCCAAAGATTTACTTTTTTAAGCTAATTTCTGTCAGAATCTGTAATAAGCAGAACTTTGTCTTTTTAATTATGAATGCACAGCATTTATGTATTAACATTGGTATTTACTGATGATGAGTTTGTTTGGACAGCACAGGAGAAGCAATGGGTGTTTTTTCTCCGCTTTGAAAGGATAGAGAAATATATGATATATCGATTGAATATCAGTATCACTAATTAGCCATAATATCAATATGAAATACTGATATTGGCTAAGATTTTTCATATTGGTGCATCTTTATTATTCATTTTGAGATGAATAATAGAGATGCACCAATGTTACAGGTAACATCTTACATGTTACCTGTAACATGTAAGATGTGTTACAGGTCCTGTTTTGGCTCAGATGCTGGTTGGACTGTGAGTCTGGGCGTTAAATCATGTGGTACCTGGGTTTGGCTGGAGTAGCTCTGTGGTTCTGGACATCAGCTCACCCAGCAGAACGTTCATCACTGCGACAGTCTGATGAAAAACACAGAGGGAAGAAGTTCAATCGGTTTTAACCTTCAATCTCCAAAGTGCACTGCAAAATCACAAAATTATACCAACTATTTTTGGTCTAGTTTCTATTGCAAATATCTTGGTAAACTTGAAATAAGAAAAAAAAATTAAAATTTACTTTTTAGAAAGACAAGACAAACTCAAACATTCATTCACCTTCTCCATCTTCAGGAAATCTTCATCCAGTTTGGTTCCCTCAGCTCCCATCAGGCGCTCGTTCAGAAGCTGCCGAAAGAAATCAGGTTAAAACACATCAGAGCTCCAGAAAACCAGACAGTTTTCAGAAATCAATCAAAAACTAAATTCCTGAAACTTTCAACCTCTGAAAGTGGCGAAAGATGGAAAATCTTCTCAAATTTGGATTGATAATCACTCTAGCTTGACACAAACTATCTGAACTACTGCATTGTAAGGCGCTTGATCACCTTGATCACTCAGCTTTAAACTGATCCAGATAAACTGGAGATGACAGTCTGACGAAGCCAACAGAACCACATTCCTTCAACTCAGAATAAAAGCTGCACCGATTGCAGTTTCCTGGTTCATAGCAGATTAACGATCTTTAAAAAGGCTCACTCAATTCCAATTTTGGCCGATACCAATTTTTTTGTCTGAAATTTTGTTAAATATAGCAAATAAGTCACTAAGTTGGTAACAGTGGGAGTGTTAACTGCAAACAGACATGACCTGGTGGGCCGATCCATCAGTCAAACCTGTCACTGCAGAGCAGAAGAGGAAAGCGGCTGATTTTTAGACCTTATCTGAGGTAGATAAGATCAACTTCACATGCAAGTATCACCGATCTTCCAAAATTAAGAAAATCTGTGCCAATAAATTGGCTGGTCGATAAATCACTGCATCCCAACCCTCAACTGCAGCTGCATCAAGAAAATTTGACAACAAAGGTTATGGACAGAATTGATGACAAAAGGCAACTTTGTCAAAGTCCAACTCTCACCAGAAACAAGCATGACTTACTTATTTGAAACACTGAATGATAAATTAAGAAAAGGATAGGAAGAAGTATAAACAGAGTGCCCATTAAAGTGTTTATCTCAGACTTTTATTCAAATTTTTTGTAAGAATGTAGAAAACCTTTAAGTTTTTAATATCTTGTTTATATCAGGAGTAAATCTGCAACTAGTGACATTGAAGATAGGGAGAATTTAGTTTACTTATAGTCAGATTGTAATATTTTGGTAATAAAGTTCAGAGGAAAAGTTTGTATGGCCTTGCTAAATCTAAATCAGAGCTTTAAAATAATCTTTCCCTTTGGAGCGAATTAACACATAATCTCTTTCTGATAATTAATGTTTAACCTATAATTACAACCATAACACAGTGCAAAGTGCAGCCTACGTCATACTCTGATGTACCGGGAATAAAAATCTTAATAAACATAAACAAGGCGGACCCTCATCCTGCATCTTTCCTGGGAGAGAGGCTTACCAGGTGGATCGGTACCAGGCCCTGTGTCGCAGTGGAGCCTCGAAACACGACGGCACACATCCTGAATCTCCACTCGTTTTAACCTGGTTCTGTTCGGCTCGGTTCGGCTCTTACCTGGCTGGCTTTGTGGAACTGCTTCTTCATTCCGGACACCGACATCTTGACGGCTCCAAGCGGCGGACCTGCTGCTGCTACCGCCGGGATCCGGACAGCCTTCAGCCCGTCTACGATGCGTTATCCCCCCGCAGGGAGTTTCTGCAGGGACCTGCCCACACCTCCGCAACCACAACGAGGCCAGGACCGGAAATTTGGACCGGAAGCAACTCCGTTTAACACTTCCTACTACAAAGAAGTGGACAGAAAAAGTTCTGCAGCCTGTAACAGTCAATTTAATTTCGTTCTGTCTGCTGTAGTCTAAAGTTTGCCATATGTCTCATATTTATTATCTTTTCAGTGTCAAATCTGTTTATTTGCTTTTCATTTAAAGTTAGCCGTTCTTTCCAATAATTTATCATGTTGAGATTCAAAATAACATCAAAAACATAATTGTTTTTACAACTTTTTCTCACTTGTTTTTTTTTTTGTCTTTCAGTCCAAATAAAGTTATTATAAATCAGTGAGCAAAAACCTGTACTGAATTAATTACTTAAATATTATGGTATAATTCTTATAATTACATAGGATTACTTTTTTATGCTTAATTATATTCTTATTTTTTATTATGGTATTTATGTTGCGTTGTGTTTAATTTGTATCAGGGGTCTATCAATAAAGTTTGAAGTGCATTTTATTGAAATGTTGTCGAGCTTAATCTTTTTTCTGCCTAATATGTTAATATTAGTTATTTAATAGTAGTTTTAATTTTGTTTTATTTTTAGGTTTTATTTGTTTTTTTATTATTATTATTTTCTGTTGTTTTGGCCGAAATTACTACTAGGAGCTTAGATATTCTTTTCGGTAAATCAATGTATAATTTTTGTTGAAGTTATAATTACAAAACAAACTGTAAAATATGGGATGTTACACATGGACATTTGCATCCACGCCATTTGTGGTTAATAGTTTTATTGATTTGTTTTTTTAATATTTTATTTAATTAATTTTATTTTCCTGTTAAAATTTTAAAAAATAAGTTTTTTCTGGTTCCTAGTTGACTAACATCGTGGTTTGAACTTCATTTCCCATCAGTCATAGCGCCAGCATTGCATCACATGACTCCTGTCTTGTCAACATGGCTGCTGCGCTAAGCAGTGAAGATTTCACCAATTTGCAGCTCCTTCTAAAGGCAAAGAACGTTGTTTTTGATATTTTTTAATTGAGACTTGATGGAAAACGTGTAATTGTCTTCTGAGTGTTTTAGAAAACGTGGTTAAAATAGGAATATCTGTTATTTGCTTACTTTAATCTGCTCTAAGCACTTTATCTGCGGTTTTTTGTATTGAAAACAAGAGTTGTTTTTCTGTGGAAGGTTATTTCACAAAACCAGGATATCGGATTAAGCCTGGATTTTCCGGTTGAATTAAGCCTTGACTCGTTTTCATAAAAGCAGTAGCTCATAAGTTACCATGGCGATTTATCCTCTTCAGCTAGCCTGTTCCAGACCAGGCTAACAACCAGTTAAACCCGGAGCTTCATTTGTTCAGTCAGATCCACCATATTTAAAACATTTTCTTATTTACGTCATAAACGTACCTTGTGCCTCTATCTAGGGGGCTGTTTTTTAACAAGATGCATTTTAAACTCTGCTTCAAATTATCTTGTCTTTAGATTTCCGTTAAGCTCCATTTGCGCTAAGAGTTAAACAGGAAGTTGTCCCTTTAAAATAAAAGCATGCCAACTCAAACAGGAAGTTAACCATAAGTAAAACTATTTAAGGATCTAAGTCATTAGTACATTTTCATTTGTACATTAGATAATTTTTACCAGGCCCTGAAAATTGTTCTTATGTTGAACCTTGACCTGTTGTCATGTTTGTTCTTTATAAATATCGATAAGATGTGAAAAGAAAACAGAGTAACTTGAATCAATTCGCTGTCAGATTCAGATGTTTTAATATTTACTTCTTCTGTTCATTTTTTTTTATTTCAAATTTTTTTATTTGAGCAAATGATGGTATGAATAGGACATTTTAAAGTTTTGCAGCCACATCTCCTGAGCCTGAGTTGGTCTTTCAGAAACGGGTAAAGCCACAACGAACTGATCATCTTATGTCAAGGCTGGTTTTATCTCACTTCCTGGATTTCTGAATTGTGGTTTTAGTGAAAGAGTCCTTTAAAGGCCATGTTTATTTTCTGATTATTTTTTTTTATGTGTCTTTCAGGCTCCATCTAAAGATGCAGTGAGAGATGTGTGCGTTCAGAGCCACAGAGTCCTGAACCGGAGGCTTACAGAAAACACTGCAGCCACCTTCAGCATCCCTGCAGCACAGGCAGCTCAGGTAACACACACAAGCACGAACGCAAACACACACACATGTGCACGCGCACACACACACACACACACACACACACACACACACACACACACACACACAGAAATCATCGTGTTTAATAATAATCAAATTTTTAGACCATTTCCAATTAGCATAATAGTATTAAAGGCAAGAACACCCTCTGGAAGATCAGTGGTAAAGAACATTTAACACTGGAAATTAAAACATTTAAAATATCCAAAATAAATAAAACAATGTAAACAACAATAGTTAAAATGAATTATGAAATGTCTGTAACTGAAATTGTGTTTAGAGAAATGTCCATCTTTCAGATTAAACAAGAAAAACAGGCAAAAAAGTATAGCAAAAAAAAAGTGAAAGTACTTTGTCAAACATTTTTCAAAATGGCGGCTTTTCAGCAATATTAAAGGGGAGCATCTCTTTAACTTTTGTCCGAATGGAAATTAGCTCATTTTGACTTGAAGTGACTTTTACTAAACTAGCAGAGAATTTTTAAACAATCAGCATCCAGATTTCTCCACTCACAGAAAAATGAAAACATAATTTAATTTGGATTTTTAATCTGATTCTGTGCCATCCATCTGTCATTTAGCTGGTCCAGTCCCTCCACACTCTGTCTCACCATGTCCTCTTCCACAACCTGACGTCTCCGGATCAGATCCTCGCAGTATTCCCAGAGTCTTTCCACTCCAACCTGAAGAACCTGATCACTAAGATCCTGCTGGAGAACAGGTCAGACTTACTGAAACTTTAAGAAGTATTCAAACTGATTTGATTATTTTCCAGGTCTGATAAGGATGAGAAGAAAAGTCATTTGATTATTTTCATACTTTCTTTCCATATCCTATTTTTCTAAAACACAAAACTCTGACAGTGGTTTTAAGTAAATATAGTGGTTTTCACATTGATTTATATTAATTTCACCTTCTTGCATTTGCTAAATCACTCAATATCCATATTATGGATTTTGTGTTTCTTAATTAATACATTGATCACTTTATATTCAGGTTTGACTTGAATTTAAAGAAATCCAATTTTTAAATTAGGTCAGAAATGCCATTTTTAATTAATTTAATATTATTAATTAAAACTGATTTGAGTTAGTTCAGATGACAAAAGCAGTAAAATCGACTCTGTCACATTACAAAAACATTTTCATTGTTGTGTTGTTTCTTGGTTTTTGTTAAAGTCACAGAAAATGTAACTAAATTCTCAGAATGTTATAAAAAAATGAGTCTGTAAAGGTTTAATGATGATGTGAGGGATAAAAGCAAACAAGGTTGTAAAATACACTAATTTTGATACAACCTCCTCCCCAAAAATCTCATCCTACTGCAAAAACATATCGAAAAATGTGAGTTTTTTTCAGAATGGGCGTGTTTCCATTGAGCAAATTTATTTTTGAAATATCAAATTGCACAATTTCAAGGTTGATGGAAATGCAGCTAGTGACTCAGACATCTCAGTTATCTTTGACTGATCAGGAATTAAATTATTGGTTGACATTAAGTTTATTTTTTCAGTCCGGCGTGGAGGACAGAAGCTCTCAGCCATCAGGGTGAGTAAATGCCTTGCTTCTCTTTACCGTCTTTGTGAGGACAAACACTTCAGGAAATGTTCTGGCGCTGATTTATTTAACCTTTAATTAGAAGCTGCAGTGTTACTGCTAAGTCTAAGGTTCGGTAAATAACTGCTTGTGTTCAGAAGTGGGTAGATAACCCAAAAACTCATGTAAAAGTAGCACTACTTAGACATATTTTTACTTAAGTAAAAGTAAAAAGTAAATGTCCAAGAAATTACTCCAGAGTAAAAAAGTATGTGGTAAAATGTCCACTCATGTATTGAATAACTGATCATAACAATCATTTAGTATTCAAAAATTTCACAGTCAGATGGACCAAAATATAAAGTTGAGTGGAAATTTTGGAATTTTAAAGATCAAAATTAAAATATTCATGTAAATTACATAATTACAAAACAACAAAATCAAGCAAAAAATAAATAAAATAAAAAAATCAGATATTTTTCAAAATCAGTTTCTTTCAATATAAAGTTTAATGAAACTTTTTCATAAACTCCAGGTATGTATTTGTGTCTGGTGAATTTTTAATTAAAACAAGTTTGTTCTTCATTCAGTGAATATCCAGATATTTTACTTTAGTAAGGGTAGCAATACTTCATGATTAAGTTACCCAAGTAAAAGTAAAAATCAGCAGTCCACGAAATTACTCGAGTAAAAATGTATTTGGTCAAAATGCTACACAAGTTCTGAGTAACCGATCAAAACAAACATTTAATATTTAAAAAAGACATAATCAGTCAGACCAAAACATAAAGTTATGTGAAAATGTTGGTATTTAGAGCTCAAAATGAGAATTATTCAGATCAATCAGAATTTTTCAAATCAGTTTCTGTCAATATAAAAGTTATTTTAAAAAAACTGCAGGTCTGTGTCTGGTGAATTTTTGGTTAAAACATGTTTGTTTTTCATTCAGTGGGTAGAAAATCCATAAACTTTACTCAAGTAAAAGTTGACACTTCATTATAAAATTACTCAAATAAAAGTAAAATAAACAGCATAGCAAAAATACTCAAAGTAAATTAGTTCAGAGTAGTTCCTCAAGTACATATAACTAGTTACTACCAAACTCTGCTCTTGTTTACAGTCTCCCTTCCTCAGCTGAAGGAGCTGGACTGGAGAGTGGACCTGGTGACCGGTTCTGACTCGGTCAGTCGGATGGCGGTGCCGACCTGCCTGGTCCAGCTGAAGGTGAGAACCTGATCGACCCTCTGCAGAGGTCGTGACCTTCCTGATGACACAATACATGAAACCGAATCTCGATATGCGAAACCTTTTCAGATGGAGGATCCGTGTCCGTCAGCAGGCGGGGAGCCGGTTTCCACGGTTACAGTGGAGCTGAGCAGGGAGTCACTGGACACCATACTGGATGGACTGGGACGGATCAGGGACCAGCTGGCTGTGGTGGCGGGGAAGTGAGAACACGGACTCCAGATTCCCTCCATAAACAGTTTACACTTTAAAACGTGGCTCAAGTTCTACGTTTTTCATCAAAAACCTGCTGCCGTCTCAGTTATCCGGCGATTGGAAAGTTTAACTTTTTAACACGTTTTGAATGTGATAAAGTGATTTTTTTTCTCATTCTGTTTATATATTTAATATTAATTATTCTACTCAACCATCATTCATGTGTAAAAGTATTTTTTCCATTTCTACTAATGTGAAAATAAACTGATCAGTCAGATTCTATTTCGTGGTGCATCTTTTCTATTCCTTCTTATTTTAATCTATTTTGACGCGGTTTAGGTCTCACTATAGTTTCCTCACATTTACATATCTAATGACGTAGTGTCAAACTTCCTTGAACTGGTTGCTACATGCATATTTTTGGTCATTTTGCCAAATGATTCTTAGATTAAGATCTTTTAAACAGAACAGGCTCCAGTTCTTTGAGCACTGTTTCTGCTTAAGGTGGGATGAAGAGTTGCAGCTGTGTATTATAAATCTTTTACCACATATGCTTCAACATTTCAGAGCTCATTTTCATCGTTACAAGACTTGAACAACAGATTGCAATTTAGGTAACTATGAAACAGATTAATTTCTTTTTTTTCCCCAGGACTTGGATGAAGAATCCAAAATGAAAGGATATTAGAGCTACTGGAAAAAAAGTGTTAATTCAGATTTTAATCTAAACTCTGAGCCAAACCTATTGACTTTTTCAGAACTTAGACTTTAATACAGATGCAAAGAGGCCGCCAAATTACGTCTAAGTTGTTTTTGCATGTCAGATTTTGGTCTCCTGAAGCTGTAGACCGACACCAGACGTTTTTTTTCCTGACATCCACAGGATCACCAAAAGTAGTCATTTACGTCTTTTCTATGTCAAATTCAAACTTTAAATTTGGAAATAATGGGTCACATACATTTCCCCCTCTTAAGTTGCTTTCTATGATTCCTGTATTGCTGCTCCTTTGCTTTCAGTCTTAGATTCTAATCTATGTTGTTAATGCCTGAGTTCTTGTGCAAAATGTTGCTTATTTTTTTCTTTTTGTTCTTAAAACTGCAGGAAGCTGAGAAAGAAAGTATAATTAAGTTGCCCATTTCAAATACTGAAACTCATTAAAACAAATTAAAAATCAAAACTGACCGTGTGATGCTCCTCTGTTTAGTAAAGGAGTATAATGTCCAGTTCAAATCTGGCTGAGGCAAGCTAACAGTTTGAGCCTTTTGCTACAGGAATACAATCACCAATCTGTTTTAAAATTGTTATTTTTTAATGGATCAACAGAAGAGATTAAAATTGGCAGTAAAAGTATATCTGAAATAAAAAACAATAAAAAAGTATTTTTCAAACAGGGATTAACAGTATAACAGATACACCATCAACACTGGTGCTAAACAAAAAGTCACATAAATGATGTTCTACAGCCAACCTTGCTTGGGTCTATACTTCATAGAGAATATACGATAAAAAACACTATTTTATTTCTCTTTTTGGATTCATAGCTAAAACTGCAGCTTAAAACATAAATCTGGAATTACAAAGTGAAAGCAGGTTCATCAGTCTTCAGTGAGTTGCCGTCTTCTGCCTCCAGATCTGTGTGGCGCGTGTTTCAGATGCTCCGCAGCATACAGCCTTACGAAGTCCTCTGTAGCTGCCCAGTCCCCCGTCATTATCCCATCTGCATACGCAGAAAACAAATGACTAGTAATAATGCAAAGAAAAAAAATGGAAAATGCACAAAGATGTGTTGATGGAGTCTCTATAAACATATTTTAGCCAGCTTCCTCATTATTTAAACATTAGCAGAAGCTAATAATTTCCTTTTTTAAAATAAAATGTGAACTTACCTTTTATTGCTTTATAAACCATTGTATTTTCCAGAGGTTTCTTGCCTCGTTTCCCTTTCCCCTTCATATTGAATTTGGCCATCAGTGCGTTGGTGAAGAGCCTGGAAAACAATAAATTACAATTATGTATCATTATAAATCTATATGACAAAATACTATCCATATCCACTCTGTGTGTGTGGAAACAAACCTGTCAAGAACTTTGTTGACAAAATCCTTGGTGTTCTTTCCTCCAATTCTGGAAACATGCAGCACCTGTTGGGATGAATCCATGATATATTTTGCTGATAATCCAACGTAACAGTGTTTGATTAATGTGTTATGCTAAGCTTTGTCCAGACTTGTAAAACTTACAAAGGTTTCAAAGACTTTTGGGTCAGAGAGGCGTTCCTCTTCTCTCACAAAGTCTTCCATGGTCTCCATCTTGTCAATGTGAACGACTGCAGGGATGGGCTGTTCGCTGGTAAGACGATTGCGGATATCAAACAAAATGTTGAAGAGCTCCCGCTTGAACACTGCAATAAACATCCATTGGTTAAAATTGTTATCTTTACCTAGAGCAGCAAGGCTGCTTAGTTGCTTGATTATTGTTTTTGTAATCAGCGTCTGTGATATTCGTCAAAAGGGAGTATTATGTATTTTTCAGGCATATAGAGCCATTCCGTAGCACAATAAAGTAACTATATCACCTTCAGTTGTTACGAAAATGCTGTGTGTAGGGGCTGGACGAAATGATTGACAAATATCATGATATAAGGGTTTCCTATAAGTCAATATCAATAATTATTGATTAGTATTTTTGTTTTAAATATCTGAAATATTGCCAGACTGATGTTGTGACCTTTCAAGTTTTCACTCAACACCATTGTTCTCTGTTTTTTAAGCAGTTATGAGAAACATTGGCAGAATCTTAAGCTGCTTCTGCGCCAATTACTCCACAAGTTGTTGCTAGGCAACCAAAGAGTGAGTAAATTCTGAGGTAAGCAAAGAGTGAGTGAGTTGCTAGGTAACCAAAGAGTGAGTAAATGAGTTCATTCCATCAACTTTATTTAGCTAGCTGTCAGAGGTTGAGTGGCTAAAGCCTGTCCTCTGCCTAAATCCCCCAGAATGCTGTGCGGTTCAGTTCAGTGAAGTGATTAGAATATCATCAGACGAATAATATTCTAATCACTGAACTGAACTGATTCTAATCACTTCTAATCACTTCACTGGGACCTAGTGATTAGGTCACTGGGGCCTAATCAGGAGGTCCTATTGTTTCAGACACTCCGCCTTCAGCACATCACAGAAACGTTCTTCCATTAAGCTGTTTACAACTGTTGGACTCGAAAGTAGCTTGTATGATGAGCTCAGTAGATGTGCAGTTCCACCAAGTGTTTGCTAACTGCTGCTGGCGCTAGTCTGGTGGATTTCTTAGTACCGCACAGTTTGTGCAAGCATGTAGACACCCCCAAATGTCTGCCACAGTAGATTTAATGATTCCTCAAACATCAGTGAAAGAATCAAAGCAACACTCCAGGTATGTTTTTGATGATGGAATAACATTAGAATATAAAGTAACACTCAAGAAAGTGAATTTTGCACAAATTTAACATGTCAGAGAAGAAAAAAAAAGAGTCTTGGTGCAAATTAATCAATACTTACCATCCTGAGGCAATGGGAAGGTCCAACCTCTATTTTCTGATCTGAAGCCTCAGCGCTGTGCCTGGATCTCGACCTAGAAACCTCATCACGGTGCCTGGATCTCGACCTTGAAGGCCCATCGCGGTGCCTGGATCTCGACCTTGAAGACCCATCGCGGTGCCTGGACCTGGAGGAGTATTCACGGTGCCCAGATGCCGCATCATAGTGCCTGGATCTTGACCTTGACGCCTCATCGCGGTGCCTGGATCTGGATCCACTACTGGATCTAGTGCAATTTTTATTTATTTTAATAATTTAGACATTTTATCACTAGCAATACAAGACCAGGTCATGAAGTAGAAACTGTTTAACTCCTACATTTTGCTGGAAACCAACCAGAAGAAGCTAATCGCTACTGATGTGGTGCTTTATGTCGTTTCTTTACCTGTAGTTATAGCCATCAAGAATTTCATCTTTGACACAGCCGTGTCGAGATCCTAAAAAACAAAACTAAACATTATTTACCAAGCCCTGATAAAATAATCTAGTGGTGCTTTAAAGTGTGATGTGATGTATACTCACTGGGAGATGACGGGTCGCTGCGCCGAGGCGCTGTGTTTGCATATCGAGGGCCTAAAAATCAAAAAAATTATTAATCGATGAAAACTTAGATCAAAATAAAAAGTGAGGATTAGTTAGGATAGATACTTACTGGACATCAACGTTTCCCGTCCTCGAGGTCCATTAGATCGCTCTGCAAAGCCAGATAAGTCTAAAACACCCCAAAAAATGTAACTGAGTCTGAATCTGTTGTCTTGTGTGCAAATAAATAATTACCAGATTGGGATGTAACGCAGTTAGCAACACTTTGAAGTTGTTGGTGGATTGATTGATGTGAATACTCACTGGAAACGTCCCTGTGGAGAGATCCTGCAGAGCGTGAGAAGGCTTTCAAAAGGTAAGCTAACGTTTGATTTACAGAGCCTGAAACACATGAATTAGCCTCTGATTACATTACAGCAGCATTAAATTACTAATTTTTTATAATTCAGTCTAAATTATTTGGATTGGTGAGCTTCCTGGTCGTCATAAATTGACCCATCCGTCTGCAGCTTGCCATAGTGGAGCAACTTTGTGAAGTTGGACAGGTGGATCAAGGAAAAATGCAAATCTACTTACGAAACGTTGACATGTCGATGCCCTGAGAACCGTCTGCAACCTCCCTTCGAATGGACGTGGCTTCATCTTCAGAGGCTGAAACAAGAACACCGGGACATTTTATATTCACATGCATAAAGATGCTGGGTAAAGTGCAGAACAATTGCACTTTACCCAGAATTTGTAACAATTATGTTGTGTACACACAACTTTAAAGTGCCTCATAAATACCTACAAATGTTATTTAATCTGTTAGTGTCCTGAATGATGGGGAGTTTCTCTGGTGCTTCTGACTGGATGGGCAGCTTGACGACTTTATAGAGGTAATTTAAAGTAAATTCCCAAGAAAAAAAGATATAAAATTTTGAAACTGGATGTCAAACAACATCATGTCTTAAAGCTCAAAAAAGTTGATTTTATAACATACTGCCCCTTTAAGAAGATAAAGAAAGCCCATTACCCCTCATGTCATCCTCTTCATCTGAAGATGTTAATCCTGATAAAAGAAAAAGAAAAAAAGGTCGTCTAAAGTTTCAGGCACAACTTCTGTCTCTAAATTACAAATGTATAAATCACATGAGACAAACATACCGTTTCTTACAAACTCCTCTTGAGTTACTTTTTTTGAGTGGCTCCTTTTTGCTGTCGTTGCCACGTTCTGTTCCTCCTCACCTTCCTTCGAAACAGCTTCAGTATAGCTGTCAATGGTAAAACTACGTGGGGTCCCAGGAACACCGTTACTAATATTTTCAAAGCCTCGAGGGTCATCCTCACTTTCAGAACGAAGCAGACCGAGGTCTCTTCTGTTTTTCCGCGATTTTCTCATTCTCACAGCAATCTGTAAACAGATTTGAGTCCAAGTTAATCTGATGATTGTTTATGTGACTGACCATGCACAAAGGGGGGAGACAAGGTCACAACACATATCATATTGAAGAGAGTTAGGATAGGATGGCACATTTCTCACCTGAAGTTAGAAAGTCACACCTCACAGAAAGGCAAAACTGGTTTATAAAAACAACGAAACCTCAGGAGCAACTTTTAAACATTGATAATTATTATTTTGAGGTAAGAAAAAATACTAAAGTGTTGTCTCTAGTGACATATTTAGAGTGTCATTTATAGTACAATGAAGTTGCCTTCAGTTGTTATAGAAATCCCCTCCGTCACTTTACACTTTAGGAAGCTCCTGCCCTTTCCGACACGCCCCCTTCAGCATGTCCTCACAACAATGCTTCTCCACTCCATGATGCCATTTACAACCATCTTTAGGAGGGTTGGACTGAGACGTGGACGGGGCCAACTTGTATACCTCTCTTTCGTGTCGTACTGTTTACATTTTGTTCAATTTGACTGTGCATTATTCTTCCTGATGCGAGTGGACGAAAATACGGATGCATCTAGCTCCGTGTGGACTCGGCCTGGACTTTCACAAGACAATGAAAATTCTAATTGAATTAAAAATACATTATTGATCCCAAAGGAAGATCAAATAATGCAGCAAGGCGCAAACACTTCGAAGCATAGGGCTTATTTAAAGCTTATTCAGATCCATAGTAGTTCATTTTCTGACCTGCAGTGCTAGATTTGCCTTAACATTTGTTCAACACAATATACACGAAGTAGACACACGTTTTATCTAACGTTAAAGCAATTTAAGACAACAATGCTAGAGAACCTAATAAAATCAAGCAGAACTCAGCTTACTTCCACCTTTTTGGTCGACCGCGGTGAACAGTAAGCAGCTAACTCAGCTCCAGCAGAAATATGAAAATGTGCTGCTCAGCAAGAGTGCTGCTGATTGGTTAGCTTATGGTCACGTGCAGCATTAGCCAATCAGAGTTTGTTGACGCTCGTGTTCCAAAGCATAGACATAATAAAAGGATATATATTATGTCTTATATCATAGACATAATATAAGATATATTATGTCTATGTCTATGTTCCAAAGCCCGCGAATTCTACTTCATTTATTTTTTTAAATGGCGGAAAGCCAAGAATTTTATATGTCCCGCCACCTACTGTAGATGACTGTATGACCTCACAGCCTCAGAACGAAAAAGCTTTTTAAGATAAAAGTTAAAAATAATAATTGCATCAATTGAATAATGATACTGAAAATTTAAAACAATTGATAACATACATTAAAATGTAATTTTAAAAATCACATACACTATGTGATTCTTAAATCACATAGTGTATTAAGAATCACTATGTGATTCTTAA